TCGCTTATGTAAGGAGAAATGAAGGAAGAGACGCAACCTACAAAGCAGTAGCAAAATTGAGTTAATTGTTCCAATAATCACTGAATTTATATTTATGTCTTGAATTACCTTAAAATGTTGAGTTTTCGCCATTAAATTTATCCAAACGTTGGACATTATTCAATGACATAACATTTGTTTCAAACCTCTAACTTGATTCGAGTCCCCATTCTTGATGGATTCAAAGTTGAAATTTTGAACATTGTGATGCACTGGAGATTTTAAGTTGTATTGCAATCTGTTTATCACTAAGTTGGTCAGTTCATTGGCTGGTTCACATGCTTTACTTAAGAGAAATGACAGACGACTTGTTTAAGCGTACATTGTTTGTAACAAAGTTATCGACAAGTGAATACTATTAGCCCAAAATGAAACTATATGCATTGGTCCTACTGATTTTATGTACTTATCGATGATTTTGAGACATTTTTTATTCATTGGATAGAATGTCTTTGTGAAACTCAATGTCACAGACATCATCAAAAACAAAAATGACAATAAAGCAAACATATCAGATGGAGAGAGGAAGTATAAACCAATCCGTATTGCAATCGCATATTTAAAGAGGTTTTAAAACATGAGAACAGTTGGAACATTCATCAAATGAAGTACTTCACCATCTGAACTTCCTTTTGCTTGAAACCACATCTCTCATAAAATGGTATGTTATTGGTACTGCAATCAAGAATCACCTTGTAACACCCTGTTAATCGAGCATGATCTGAGAGGAACTCGACTATCTTCTTCCCTAATTGTTTGCCTCGAACACTGGAATCTACCACCACATCTTCAATATGACCAACTTTGCCACAATTCCTTATAAATTTCTTTTCGATGAACACACTCCCAGTGGCAACAATCTTCCCTGATTTGTCATCTTCTATTACACATACAAGATGGTCGTCCCCATATATAGCGAGCTCCTGAAATCGTTCTTGAAATCTCTCATCAGAGACAGAATCACAAACAGTCAGCTGTTGAAGTAGTTCAATGAAACCCTTGTTTTTGTCAGCGATCTCCAATTTCCTAACTCGAAATATCTCTTCTTCTGCAGAGGAGTTAGCGGTCTGCATCTAATAGACTTCAGATCCTGGAAGTTTATGAAAAACAAATTACTTAACAAAGAGAAAAGAGGATGAAATTGCTATGACGACCAATGAAAGGAACGTACATGGCAAGCCACAAAACAAAATGATGGTTTGTTTACGACCTTAATCATAAGTAATCACACTTGTAAAATAATTAATTTGGCAATTAATGGATGTTATTTAAGAAGATGGCATCAGAAGATTCATCTAAACATTATATACTTCTGCTCGAGCTGTTTTATAGTTAAAATAGCAGGGGATGAGAGAGCTGGCCTAACAACTTTCCATGACCAGAGGAAGGAGCAGGGCTAAGGGGACCCTATGACTTATAGACAAGCCACTGGAGGCTGGCCATTCGTGACTACTTATTAAAAAAATCAGAACCCAGATCGTCTAAGAAATTAGAAAGTCAATCAGGTTAAGAGTGATGATCACAGTTGGACCATGATGACATGTATATGGATTGTGCATTATCTATGAAAACACACACATATAGTATGAAACCTATTGTAACAAGACAACTCCATGTCCAACCAAGCAGATTGTGTTTTTTCTGAAATCATCTGCTGTCCGAAACCACCACTTCTAACATAGAAGTTGCCCAATGTCAATCATTGTTAGTAAGTTCAAAATTAATAATAAACTATGGTGACGTAAAGAATGTGGCCACACAGTAATTAGTCAGAAATCAGAACGAAGAAAATAACTAGTTCAGATGGTTGTTGATGACTTGGAGGTTTTGAACAATCCATGTTCAAAACTTAACTCGAGATCAAATATGCAGACATAAACGTGAAGTTTTAGAGGCATTTCACTAAACATGTAGCAGGGAAGGCAGTCATGACAAAAACACAATGGAAACTTTTCTAACAGTGAATGCTATGAAATTCACCACTGAAACTAAAGGTAAGATATTAATTAATTTTTCGCGTAACAGTTGGGTTTGGGAGTAGAGAGTTGTACTAGCTACAAAGAGAGAGGGGATTGTGCTCTCCAATCAATCAACCGTGCTAAGGAAAAAATTGAACAGAACGATATATTCATTACTCTATTGTACACCAACATTACATTTCCAAATTTCAGAACCAATTAAGGATCCACATTTAAAAATAAATAAATAAATAAATTAATTAATTAATTTTGAATTTTTAAATTAGCAAAATATGCTTATGTATACTTACTAAAAAGTAAAGATGAAGTTTTAAGCAAATTTCTTATTTATAAAGCAGTAGTGGAAAATCAATTAAACCGAAAAATTAAAGTCCTACGTTCTGATAGAGGAGGTGAATACCAAGTAGCAGAATTAGCAAAATTCTGTGAAACTAATGGTATAGTTCACGAGTTTACTCCACCATATTCGCCATAATCAAACGGAGTAGCAGAAAGGAAAAATAGGACTTTAGTTGAAATGGTGAATTGCATGCTTATTAGTTCTGGTTTACCTGATCAATGGTGGGGTGAAACAATCTTAAGTGCATGTTATACTCTAAATAGGATACCTATGAAGAAGATTAACAAAACTCCATATGAGTTATGGTTCAACCGGAAACCTAATATTAATCATCTCCAGCTGTGATGATCTATTGTGATAGTAAAGATACTTTGTATTCGATAGCAAACAAGACTTACAATGGTAAGCAACGACATCTCAATTTTAGACATCAGTCTCTTCGAGGATTACTTAAGCAAGGAGTAATCACCGTTGAATATGTAGAGTCGAAGAATAACCTAGCAGATCCTTTGACAAAAGGATTGGCTTCACAACCAATCAATATAAGGATACTAACCATCACCTGTCCCACTGGAATTTTGTCCTGGGTATTTCACCACTTACACTTGAGGGCTAGCTTGTTCTAAAGGCAAGGACAATTCATAGACAACTATACAAAAAATTAAAGAGAGAGATTTTCCAGGGAATTGCTTTTTCATATGTATTTTGAGAATTTAGATCATGCATATGATTAAATCTCGTGGATATCCACTGGCAACTTGACAATATACAATATGTATTCCTCAATGTGGGTTTCCTTATGTATCCAGATCCAATACAATGTGTTAAAAGGGGAGATCAGATTGCAATTATAGAATATAAATATGTGAAGGTTTAACCTAAGATATTGCATTAAAATACACAGATTCCTCAATGTTTCAACTACTAGGCAGGCTACCATCAATAAACAAAAAATTTGGAAAAGAAAAAAATTCCAAGGAGCTAGAGAAAGAGAATTGACAAATAATGGAGGTTGTGTTAAAATTAAATCATTCGCAACAATCAAATCGAGCGCGAAATCAACTCAACCCATTAGATTTAATGTATATTTTTACACAAATAAATCTGAAATTACCTTCCAAGTTTGGTGATGAAGGAGATGACTTATCCTCTCGAAATCACTGCAGCACAAAAAATGAAAAACGCATAGCCGCTTTTCCCCCTCTCCGTGAATAAGGCTAGAATTGGAGCAAAAGGTACCAAATCTTAGTCCAACTTACGTTTTTATCCAAACTTTAGAAAAACAAAAATATAGAAAAAATTTATCATCTTTTTCTTCCCACTCTACGCCGCCCCACCACAACACAGCTACACCATACCAATGCAAAGGCTACCACCCAGGGGCAGAGCCAGGATTTTAATTCAGTGCTGTCAAAATTTTTCGATGCCGAAAAAAAAAAACTATAAGCAATTCACAATTCACAGGGCAACAATCCAACACATTCATCAATGCACAGATTCACAATCTCATTCACAAGGCAATATATACTATTTCAAAACTCCAGTCATATAGAGTAAGCAAGCAACTCACAGTGTAAAGGCCGTGGCAGATGGCAGTGCCGCTTCTGCGCTTCCAGATCAAGCAATGAAGAACTGCTAATTGCCTAATTCCATATGTTAAAAAGAAAAAAGAAAAAAAAAACCAAATCACATAAATCAGAATAACAAAAAATAAAAAAAAACGAAAAATAAAAAGCTTCAAAAATCAAAATGAGGTAGTGATTAATCAGCCAATCAGGGATTCAGGGTTGGTGGAATTTGGAAATTGGGCAGACCTTCTTCTTCTGCTGTGAGGGTTGTCGATTGCCGCCGGAAGAATCACCGGAGCCACAACGTGGCAAGCCTGCAACGAAGGTTACAGACCGGGACACCTTACGTTACGGAGCAACTAAGGTCTGAGCAAGATAGAAATCTGTCACCGGAGGAAGGAGGAGGAGGTTGACTGGTTGAGGCTGAGGCAGCGCCGGAGTAGGGAGCAGACGGGCGACGGAAAATCTGGAATTGATTCAATAATTTCAATTTAATGGCAGATATTGGAAGTGGTAATTGGGTCAAATAGCCTATATTATAATACACTTCGAAATTTTTTTCTTTGACCAGAATAATGTTTTTAAAATACATATATTAAAGGGGATTTATAAACTACCTAAAACACCCTTATTTAATATCACCAGAAAATTTAATTCCCCATTTTCTTTTCTCAAATCAATTGAATTTCAGAATCCTAAATCCATCATCTTTGTTTTCTCTTCACAATCCCCAACCCCTTTAATTTTTCTTCTTCATCTCCAGATCCTTCTACCATTTAAAATTGATTTCCTTCGTCTTCTTGAGTGAAATGAAGAATTTGTTATGAAGGTTTCATCAATTTTTCCAAGATCGAAACTCGCAAAAAAAAGTACCAATACGTGAATAACCACTTCTAAGAACCAATTTCACAGTGGGCTATTCTCAGATATGAATGATTCCTCAATTTTTCATTTTTAATACGATTTTACGCCCAAAAAAAAATTAGAGAAATTTGTGCCGAGAAAAATTATACCAATAGGGTGGGCTTTTTTAGACCTTCAAATTTATTCATTTTTTTGTATATTGTAATTAACTTTTGGAACTCAATTTTCTCTTCATATTTTTCATTATTGCTTTGAATTACATCAAAAATACTTAACAATTCAACTTTCTTCCTGTAACTGCAAATTTGAAAAAAATGTTATTTCTCTACTTATTCTTCATGATGTAGATATATAAGCAAATTGATAAAAAAAAATATGTAGTAGAGTGTTTAGAGTATGAGATATTGAACATATACATATGGGCTTAAAAGTAAATAACATAGATGATTTTGAAAATTGCAATATATGATTCTTTTTTATTCTAATTAGTGTTGAGCTGATAAGTGGAAACAAAGATGACAATTTAATAGAAAGTGCTATAAAAAATTAGATATTTAAGTATTTGCTTGTTAAAAATATTTAAATGTCATGTTAGTTGCAATATTAGTGTAATGAAATAGATATTCTATGATATCATTGAAGTCTTAGCAAATTGGTACTATTTTGCAATTTGCATTGAATGGAATATGGTAGAGTAATAAAAGATCGTGATTTTTTACTGTAACTAATATATGGTAATGTTTTGCATGTTTTTCCATGATGTAAATTGCATTTACTTGGTTGAGATTGTGATATTTGATATGTTAGTTGTTGAATTTTCCAGCATGGCACCATGAAGTTTATATAATTATGAAAATTGCATCCTGTCGTTTATGGAATTTTGAAAATGTCACCTATTTTTTTTCTATTTTTGAAAATGAATTATACTACATATCATTTAACATTACTGTAAAAATTTTATATTTGTTCATTGATTAATTAACATGATCATTTTGTGTCTTTTATTGTAGAAATGGAACACTCATTTTAGTATGTGATTTCTTTATTGTAGAAATGGAACACTCATTTGAGTTTGTGATTCCCGTTGAAGATAAAATTAAAAGTAGACCTTCAAAAATGAGCTCCCTTCATAGACTTACTATATTTAAGCAATGTTAGATGATATTTGGAGGAGAAAAGCTTTTGGCCACACAATTGAATGATGAGTAGAGATAAGCAACGGACATGCCAGGAGGTAGCTGGCAGTTATCTCTTGTCGTTCAATGAGATTACGGAATATACACTATGAACTTTATAGAACTTTTGTCGGCCGAATTAGACGTAAAACTTATATCCAATAATAAGATTGAATAATTGTTTTCTTTGTATATTTTTCAATTTTATGTGATCAGATGATATAGGACTTAGACACTAATTTTATTAGATAGTAGTGTTTTGATTAGTTGTTTACTTTTGCTGTAATGAAATAAGAGCATTTTGAAATTTTGATTCATTCATTTACTAAACCCTTTTAACGGTTCGTATTTGATGGCACAAGCATTAGCTTAATTTCCCAAAAAAAGGTCCATGCTAATTTTGGCATTTGATTTGAGAACATCTACATGGTCATTTTTCTCTCTTTCGTCCTTATTTGAGAAGTTACTTCTGCAGGAGTATGCATTTAGTCAGTAGGTAGTTGGCAGTTATCTCTTGCAATTGGTATATTTTGATGACTAGATGTATTTCGTGCTTTAGTAGTAGCTCGTGCAAAGTTTAAACGGGAATAACTTGTAGGTGTTGTTTTAGAACTATTTTACTTCATCTTATCT